CCATCTTAAGCGTAACTAATTCAAGTTAAATAAGCAATGTCTTAATCAAACTTATCTCAATTGTAAAGCGGGTATAAAGGAAATATTTAGAATAAAGCCAATATATAAACTTCCTTTCCGTAGAGACGTATTTACGTCAAATTCTCCGGAACCGTGATTCCACTGACAACTTTTTCCTGTAATTTCTAGCGTTGAAAATGCAGCCAAATTATTGCGTAAATAATAACGGTGACATTTACTTTTTGCTTGTCAAAGAAATTGAAAGAACGTCACGACTGCGCATGCTTGACAGTTACACATTCTCCTTCGAATGATACAACCAAAAAAATTTCGTGTTGCGTCTCTATTTTCCTTTGGTATGAATTTCGCGCAGAAATTATGAATAAAACATTTGGACATTATGCAACTGAATGATTTAAAGACCTGTTCCACGAAGGGACCTTGTGAGTTACACAAAAAGACGACAAGTAGTTAAGTTGATAGCGCAGTTCGTCCGTGATCGTTAAAATGATAGGTTAGGTTCGATTTTGAACTCACGCCTTTGCGAAATTAAAACGCATTGGGTTAATATTTCGGTCACTAAATGACACTGAATGTGTGGCTCGAGGTTCAAAAAACATCGTAACTTACACAGAACCGTATTTTACTTTTGTTATGAATGTCATTATTTTGGTTTTCAAACCCTGTTTTCTAAATCTGATGATGAACTAAAATTTGCAGCATTGCTTATCACTGTATGCCAAAGACATGTCATAATGAATTTAAACCAAGTGTACAGTCCGCGAACCTTCTACGTTTCATTCATAGGCCTTGTGCCAGTCCAGGTCCGTGGTTCAATTCCCGAATGGACTGAGCCTTGAGATGAAAGGTAAACCAGGCTTCGGCATGTTGATCTGGCTTATAAGAAAAACGAAGAATGTGTAATTACATGATTTTTGGAACGCCTTACATCACCTAAATTAGACTGAACGCTTAATTTTGGCTTTGTAAAAGACATTGAGTTGAAGGAATGTGGCCCCACATGGCCACTTGCGAGTTTCCCTCCTCGACATTCTTTCTGTCCCGAGGGAGCCTGGCGTTGAAAAAAGCCAAACATAAACCAACAAACAAAATACTTAAGCCACCCCAGAGTTGGAATGCACGCCTTCCAGATGTGGGGTGAAGACTGCATTACGACCATCGCATCCTTGCGATGGACCAATTGAATTTGAACTCAGATTATAGGCGCGTTCCCGCCCTTGTGGAGGAACGAATCAGATCGCCTCATTTCAGCCAAATTCAATGACAAATTACGTGATGCAGGGGTATTTAAGCGCGATCGTGGTTGCGTGGCGCTCTCTAAAGTTTTGGTCCTTTGGTTGAGAGGGGGTGATTTTATTTTGCTAACACACAAAAGAACAAAGGAACAGCCGAGCCATCCAGCTGCCTCCGTGAATGATGCCTAAGATATTATACGTTCCTGCGTGTATTAAGGAACAATAAAGTGTCGTCGATCAGTTCAACACAGAAAAACTTTGTTATCCATTTGTGCAGAAAACCTGCTCCGCCTTCTAATTCCCGTATATTCCCGGGGAGTCGGAAACTCGTGCTCACCGACAACCCCACACCATCATCAACAAGAAGCTTTTAACGATATGAGAGCCAGGCTGCGACTATACTGATTATTTCTTGTTTCATTGCTGACTTTTGTTATATTTTTCCTAAAATTCTTTACGTAAACGTTAGGTAATAGGAATGGATTTGGAAGGAAGCGGCTAAGGCCTTCTTCTAGGTACTTTACTGGCATTTGCCTGGAAGGGGCTTGAGGGACCCCAAGCCAGTGCAGCTGGTATCATCATTGATATTCAATCCAGGTAGACGACAACCCAATTGAAAATTTCTTCTCGTGATGCCTTGCATTTCTTTTGCAACAATCTGATGTTGGAAAGCAAAAATCAAATGTAACTACTTATAAAAATATTAATATCTACCTCTTTGTTTAACCAGCCATTTAAGCAATACGCAACTCATCTGATAAATACTATACCCAAGTTTATAAAGAATGTATAGCGACATTTTATTTATTGTCTTTGAAATATTTTGTTATTCATAACAAAGAATCGTGGCGCTATATTAGTAATTCGCTACGTCTGTCACCCTATAAAATCTTTCCAGTTGTGCCCGAAGCGGCGTCTGACACAGGTTGACCTTGAGCTAAAACTTTGTTATGCAGATAAGGTTGTCAACGGTAAGATCCAGTTTCCTTCTGTTTCCTTACGTTTGTCTATGACTTAATCTCATGGCCGTGAACATAGATTGTAAATTTATCGAGGGCGTTCACCACCGTCAAAAATATTTCTCACAGACGGAATATTTATGTTCCGAGGGAGAAAAGACTGGTTGACGCAGTAGAAACAATCAGTCTCAGCGTTGTCGGTAGTCTGCATAAGTAAAGCTCCTTACTAGCATCGGTGTATATGATAACGGGTGATTCTTCATCAGGATGAATGTGGAGGATTCCCCACGCGAAGTGTGCGCGTGGATCTTCGAACGCTCTCAATTTCCCTCGACTATCTGTGCAACGAAGTTAACATTGAAGCGGTTATGAAAGTTGCATGTACCAAGAAACTGGCGTAACTGTTTTTGGTGTCTCTGAATAGCGGCGATCCGCTCTGGGTCATTGTCGAATTTGCTTTTGTTCTCAATATTAATAGCCCTGATACTAGCATCAAATTGTGATATCTTCTCCCCAAGGATAAGTCCTTCCATACCTGATTTTCCTTAGTCACTTCACTAGTATTTAAACTAACTTCCTTCAATATTGTCCGTCTACACAAGGATTTCGCGTTTTCTCCCAACTGAAAAATAAAAAATAGAGACACACAACACATTTTAAGCACAAATGGCCATAAATATACTAACAACCAAGCAGAAACGGTGGTCTAGCGGTTAGAACGCTGGCCTTGTAATCCTGGGGTCTCGGGTTCGATTCCCGGCGGTGCCCGAATTTATAACTTGTGTTGGGCAAGGCCGTGGTCTAGGCAACACGGAGTTTTCCTCCGTGGCATCCCAACAATTACTCCATTCACACACAGAAGAAGGCAATGGCAAACCACTTCTGGATCATCTGCCAAGAACGTATATGAACAGGTCCCAGTCCGAGAAAAGGATGGAAGGATCCTGTTCATATGGACCTGTGGCCAGACAGAACACTAAATAATATAATACCGCCGTCTCGAGGAAACTTTAAAAAATAATAATCAAGTATTTAAATTTGACGTGGAATATTATAATAAAAATAAATCGCTGGAATTTGTTAAAATTTAATCAAATGTTACTTTTTGTCATATTTATTATGAAATTATCGTAAAAGTTGTTTCATGACAAGGACTTTAATGGACGACAGCTGTGTTAATTACCCAATGGTGTCATTTATAATGAAACCAGCTTCAGTTACTGATTAATACTTACAATGTTTGATCCGGTGGGACACGACACTTCTGAGAATCATTTCGTCCTGTTTTTATATTAAATTTCTGCCTCCCAGCTCTGTTTCTTCAACACGTGGGGCTGCTTTAATGAGGTGGACACGGGCTATGAAGATCTCTTTTGCGGTAGATCGAGTAACGACCGAGTGTGTAACGAGGAAGGACGGACGGAAGCTCGTCGATTTCTGTGAAAGGAACCTTCTAGAAATTCTGAATGGAAAATACGGCGAGGACACGGAGGGGGAGTTTACTTATGTGAGCCAGCTGGGGAAGAGTGTCATAGACCAGTGGTCTTCAACCGGTGGTCCGCGGACCGGCGCCGGTCCGCGAAAGCTTTCACCATGCTTTCACCCGACTATACTGCTACACGATTTGGGGAATTCCCAATGTTGCGGGGCGAGCGGCGAGCGGGGCGCTGCACGCGGCGAGTATAGACGAAGTGCGCGGCCGCCGAATGAGAGTATTGCGTCAGCTCGCCTGTCGACGACACTGTAACCGTCC